CCCCAAAACCCCAAAACCCCAAAACCCCAAAACCCCAAAACCCCACAATAGTTTTGTCACATTGAAGTGTAATTTTAAACTGAATCCCAGTTGATCAATGTATATCCTGTGATAATCACCATCAGCAATAATCCAATGGTGATCAAGACATAATCCAGAATTTTATCTGTTGTTGTTTTGGCAACTAGGCATAAGTGGAATGTTGCTGGCAAAGTAAAAGCAATAGGGGTAAGAAATAAAGAGCCTACCACTGAGGTCAATCTGTCCAAACTTTCCTCAAAATATAACCCCATGAAAAGAGTAAAGGCTACTAAAAGTGTTCTGTTTCAGTTCTTCAGCCACTTTCTGATAGTTGTCTGCTCCATATTCTTATACACCTTTTTCTCAATAATAATATTTGCTGGGTAGATGACAAGAGGGTAAGAGACGAATAAATTCAGAATGAATAAAAGCTCCACTATATCTGCACAATTGGACTGTTGCTTGGCAGCAATCTGGTAATTAGCTTAGCATTAATCAGTTCTTCATTTGAGTATGCCATATAATTGGTTAATCCAAATGCAATCAACAAAAATGCAACAATAGTCATGATCAAAGTGAGAATAAATCTATACTGTTTTGGATTTCTAGTCGTGTCCTTTACAGGAAGAACTATCCCAACTCCTTCAAATGCAAAGACACAAGTGCCGACAAATACCATGTAGCTATCTTTATTAATCGGCTGAACCTCGTTTCTATAAACTTAAACGGTAGACTTACCCTTCATAATTAACAAAAGCATAAAATAAAATAACAATTAGTGCTCAAATCACGCTGATATCCGCGAAAATGTGGTATTTTGCAAAATATTGGATTCTTCTCACCCAAGTTAGAGGAGCATAGATACACAAGCATATCCCTCCAATCACCCATTTGTTGATTGTGAATCCAAAGTTAGCATCAAGAATGCCATTGACATTCTGAGATATAAAGACAATGTGCATTCAGACGAATCCAGTCTGAGTCAACCCAAGTGCTATATCACAGAATATCTTGCCTGGCTTTCCAAGGGACCTCTCTCCAAGCGATGAGAATGTCCCAGGATACTCTTCAGATACAGTAAGCAATAGATTCGAACAAATGATGACCAGCAAACTAATTACCAAAATAGTCACTGTTCCGAATAGCCATCCTGCGTTATAATATCCATTAGGAAAAAGCAGCATTGCAATGCCAACAAAGCCTTTCATCAGTGTAAAGAAAGTCTGAAGAGGTCCGAGGGTCTTGACATGGCCTTGGACGTTGACTCCAATATCGCCTATTCTTAGTATAAAATCTTACCTATGAAACTTGAGCGTGAGAAGTCCCCTCTATGATGAATTTCAGCCATCTCGCTTCCTTCATAGTCATCATCTTCATCATGCAGGTCTTCACCGAAAAAGTGAGTGTAGAGGTAATACTCAGCAGATACGATCTTGTTCACATTTTTAGATTTCTCATCATCCGTGAATGCTGATAGTGTTCTTCCCTGGAGGTAAATCTTCTGAGGTTTCTTCTCATGAGCCTTCTTAGCAACTTTGAACTTCATCTTAGCTGCATCATATTTCTTAGTGGTCACCAATTTATCATACTGGTCTGAGGATTGAGCTCTCTGCTGGTACATATCTTTTCTTGACTCTAAACTCAGTTATGAGCAATTTGGGCTTATTATGTACGAGGTATGAAGGAAGTAAGAAAGGCTTCACGCCTCCTTTACCAATTTCATATCTTCTGAATCAAAAGATATTTTGGTATAAGATAGTTATTTTCTCTCAAATCTTACTTGTATCTCTCTTCCTTCCCTTAGCAATCTTAACACTTGGTTTCTCATCATAATTCCCTTCAAGAAGTGGAACAGTCAACTTTTTCGAAGAACCTCTCTCCATACTTCTTCCTCACAACACAATTATTAATAATACCAAACCACTAGAGACTATCTGGGGTTTTGGGGTTTTGGGGTTTTGGGG